GTGGGCAGTTCAGAAGCATGTTTTCCCACCGTCAAAAGGAGGATTTAGATTGGTACAGCCTCAAGCATGTACACAGCTTAATTACAGCAATTACATGTAATCGGATGTGATTTTAAAAAAACACACACACACAAATCCATTAGAGAATGTTCCAGGCGAGGGAAGCAGCAGTTGGAATCCATTTAGCACCATATTAGTCAAATTGCAAATGTAATAGGTTATATTGTCTCCAAGGAGAAGCATCTGTGTAGCCAGTGGAGTTGCACAAGGCACTCAATTTCAGAGCTGTTTTTATGCTACTTTAATCTCTGTTCTTGTCGTATTTTATACTATTAAGGATTTAGAACTCTTTATTTGATGCAGCCATACTGACTCAGGCGGTGATCTCATCAGATTTCAAAGCTAAATAGAGCCAGTTCTGGTCTGCATAAAGGAGAGATGGCCAGAGAAAATCCAGGTGCTCCAAGGAGTGGTGTTGGTGACTCAGTAGTTAGCACAAGTTATTTTGAGTCAGTACATAAAGTCAGGCATCAAGACCACTCATGATAAATGAAGTTCCCAGGACACTTTTGCACCATTTTCTATTCTAAATTCTACTTTCTATAGCATAAGCTGGATATGGTGATTTTTACTTGCATCCTGACCTGTTGGATAAGGTTACCACATCACATTCCTCCCCAGAAGTAGCTGCAGTTTCATTTGTGAGTGCCATTATTCCTCTTTTGCACCTGTGTAAAGGCTTTGGCTTGTCAAGTATGATATAAACAAGTTTATTGTTATGTTTAGCTGCTGTTGCCTCCTTAAGAGTCTTTCAGTAAAAATGTGGGGGGTTTCAAAACAAATGTCTCTTGGGCCACTCTGACTTTTCGGGCCACCTTTTGCCAATTCCATTGGTTCTGTGCCTGTTTCATTTCAAATGGCTTTTCTGCTTAATCAGGAAGGTAAACAATCCACTGAGGGGTTCCAGTTAAGAAGATTCTACTAAAAAGAAGAACAGGAGTACTTGTGGCACCTTGTGATTCTACTGAATCAAGTGTACCCTTCATGCATAAACCATAATGGGAGACAGTAAATATTCATAGGCAAAACTGAATATTAGGTTAATTCAGAGATGAATGGAGGGGCTCTTGTCTCTAAAAGCATTAATTGTATTGGCTTTCAAAAAAATAATTTGTCTGTAGGGTGTAGAGCAGGGGTCGGCAACCTTTCAGAAGTGGTGTGCTGAGTCTTCATTTATTCACTCTGATTT